AATAGCAGATGCTTGACTGGGGATCGGAACTAAAGAAAGGAAAACAAAATAAGTAGGCCAAGGGAGCTGATGGATGTGACCTTTGAGGAAAGGCCTAAAGGAAGTGAAGGAGGAACTCATGTGGATGTCTGGGGAAAGAGTATTCCAGGAGAATGAACAGCAGGTGTAAAGGCCCTGGGGTAGAAGTGTGCCTGGGGAATTTGGGGAATAAACAAGAGGCTGGTGTGGCTGGAGCTGAGTGACTAAAGGGGAGATGAGAGGAGGGAAGTAACGGAAGCAGGCCATGCACCTTGCTAGTGCTGGGAGGACTTTGTTTTTGCTTTTGAGTGCAATGGGATCCATGGGAAGGCTTTGAATACTTCCACATGCATTTAGCTGACATTTTCTTCTCTGCTTTTGTCTCATTCCAGCATTGCTCTTACTTCCTCAAAACCTTGGGTTTCTTCTCAGGCTCTTTTCCCAAGTGGGAGCAGAAAGCTGGTACCCAGGGCTCTTAAATTCTCCTCCTGGGGTCAGAACTTGGAGGAGAAAGCTTGGAGGAGAAAGAGGAACCCCCACCTCTTTCTGGATGACTCAAAACCGTAATTACCTGAGCTCCTCCTCCTACCCCTGAAATAGAGGCACTTAGCACTTCCTAAACTTCCCTGCGCACACAGATCCCCTGGCGATCTTTTAAAATGCAGATTCTGACTCAGCAGGTGGAAGCAGGGCCTGAGGCTGCCTTCCTAACAGAAAAGGTGCTGGTTCTGGGACCACGCTTTGAGTAGCAAGGGTCTAAGGTCATTGCTGCAGATTTCCATTTGGGACATGTCTGTGGACATTTGCCGGGGTGTGGGTGCACAGAGGGAGAAGGGAACGATGTTGGAGAAGCAGTGTGAGTATCTGTATTTGACAAGAAGTAAAATGAAGCAGGTTGGGAGAGAAGAGCCTCTTTCTTTTTGCCTACATGATAAGGCTTCATTGTTACACCGAGGGCCCTGGGTCTGAAATCCAGGTGATACTGGCCAATTGAAACCCTGATAATGCAGCCCATAGAAGTGCTGCGTGCTGCATGCTGGCCTTCTGGGACTCTTCCTGGAACCTTCAGTGCCAGAGCTGATGCAAAGGAAGTCACATCCCTGCCATTGAGGGGCAGGAGGCCAGGGGACCGGAGGAGTGGGATGGAAGAAGCGCATGTAAGGAGGTTGACTTGGCAGGGAGATGAAGCGAAGTCAGCTTCAAATCACAGCGAGAGGAGACCGGGGAAGGGCTTGGCATTTCTGCTCTGTGTACAAATATTGTCTCTTATTTTCCGGGCTGCAGGGTGAGGCAGAGTGGAGTATTTGTGCAACACAGCCCAGCTTTGTTCTCTGGGCTCCTAATGCCTGTCAGCTCGGAGGCAGAAAGCCAATCAGAGAATATCGTCGGCAAGGCCGGCTTTTGTTGGCTCTCCAAATTGCCCTGAGTCTCAAATTTTGCTTTTCAGACTGTGCTTGGAGCTTGCCTTCAGCTGCTTTCAGCTGGAGGCAAAGGCTGAAGCTGGTGACAAAAGGAAGCCTGGTTTTCCTGCCTTTCCGAGACTTTTACTGAGGAGGTTTCTGTTTTAGACTCTGTTTTCCCAGCTGGAAAGTGGGTTTCGCTCTCCCTCTAGCCTGGGAGGGATGGCCCTATGGCACCTCCAAAATACCAAACCTAACTCCAAGGCAGAAGGGGAGACTGAAAGCAGTTAATTTTCCAAAGGATAGAGCTAGGAGGAGGGGAGAGGTTTAACATGGTCAAGTTGCTCAAGACACACTGATTGATATCTCTACAGAACACGGAATTTCAGTGCCCCCAGGGGACACTCAGCAGGGCTTAGAGACCACGTGAGGTTGTCATCACTGGACAGGAGGGGATGCTACTGGCATCTAACACGCAGAGGCTGGGGATACTGTTGAATGTGCCACAGTGCCCAGACAGCCCCGCCAAGGAGAATGATTCAGCCCCAAACCTAGTGCCGAGGTTGCTCCGGGGTAACCAACACCCTGTGGCCTTTTCACTCAAGCAGCCGCTTCTCCAGTGTCTACACGTCCTTCTCAGAGATTGCCAGATCCGTATACAGAGCCCGTTGGCGTGGGACACTTCTGAGGAGCCTGGCAGGGGGACAGGGGACTTTCCCATTCACCAGCTGATCAGCAGTCCGGGAGCTAATATGAAATAAATAAGATAGATCCTCCCCACCCGCCCTGCAGATCATCCGGTGGACACGAGGGCCGGAGGCCTCCTCAACCCAGATGAGAGTTCCCAGGATGCAGGGAGGAGGTTGCCTGGGCAGACTGGAGAGAGTGCAAATGGAGTGTCTAGGGATAAGCACGTGGACGACCCCGCCCCTGACTTGAAAGAGCAGATTCTCAGAGGTCCGCTCTGACCGCTGTATTTTTTTTTTTTTTATTGAGGTAAAATTCATATAACACAACCATTTTAAAATGGCATTTAGGGCTGGGCACAGTGGCTCATGGCTGCAATCCCAGCACTTTGGGAGGCTGAGGCAGGAAGATCACTTGAGCCCAGGAGTTCAAGACCAGCCTGGGCATCAAAGTAAGACTCTGTCTCTTAAAAAAAAAAAAAATAGGCACACATGGTGGTGTGCGCCTGTAGTCCCAGCTACTAAGGAGGCTGAGGCAGGAGGATCGTATGAGCCTCGGAATTCAAGGCTGCAGTGAGCTATGATCATGCTGGTGTACTCCAGCCTGGGTGACAGAGCAAGATCCTGTTTCTTTTAAAAAAGAATGAAAAGAAAGACAGGTATTTAGTACATTCACATTGTTGTGTAACTGTCACCTTTATCTAGTTCTAAAACATTAAGCAGTAATTCCCATTTCCCTTCCTATTCCCCAGGAACCACGAATCTGCTGTCTGTCTCTGGATTTGCCTGTTCCAGACATTTTACATACATGGAATTATACAATACATGGTCTTTTATGTCTAGCTCCTTTCACTTGGCATAATGTTCCAAGGCTCATTCCTGTTGTAACATGTATCAGTACTTCATTCATTTTTATGGCTGAATACTATTCCATTCTGTAGGTAAACCACGTATTGTTTATCTATCCATTGATGAAATTTAAGTTGTTTTACCTTTCAGCTGTTGTGACTAGTGCTGCTGTGAACATTTCTGTTGGTTGGAGTCCCTGTCTTATAATCCTTTTGTGTTTATACTCTGGAGTGGAGTTACTGTGTCACATGGTAATTCTGTGCTTCACTTTTTGAGAAACCAACAAACAGTTTTCTGCAGCAGTTGCCCCGGTGTTTTGTTGTTGCTGGTGGTGGTGGTCGTGTTTTGAGACAAGGTCTCACTCCCGTTGCCCAGGCTGGAGTGCAGTGGTGCGGTCATGGCTCACTGCAGCCTCAGCCTCCTGAGGCTCAAGCAGTCCTCTCACCTCAGCCTCCCAAGTAGCTGGCACTACAGGCCTGCACCACCGTGCCCAGCTAATTTTTTGTAATTTTTGTAGAGACAGAGTCTCACTTTGTTGCCTATGCTGGTGTTGGACTCCTGGGCTCAAGTAACCCTCCTACCTTGGCCTGCCAAAGTGCTGAGATTACAGGCATGAGCCACTGCCCCTGGCCAGCTACACTCTTTTATATTCCCCCCAGCATGAGAGTTGCAGTTTCTTCACATGTTCACCAACGCTTGTTTGTTTGTTGTTTTAAATTCTAGCCATCCTAGTGGGTGTGAAGCAGTATCCCATTGGAGTTTTATTTGCATTTCCCTGATCACTAATACACTCATCTACTTACAGGCCATTTGACTATCTTCTTTGGAGAAATGTCTATTCACCACTTTCAATTGGGTGATGTTTCTGTTGTTGTGTTGTACATGTTCTTTATATATTCCCGGTACTAGACCCTTATCAGATACATGATTTGCAAAGAGCTGCTCCCATTCTGTTACTTGTCTGTTAACTTTCTTGATAATGTTCTTTGAGGCACGAAATGTTTAAATGTTGATGAAGCCCAGTGTATCTGTTTTATTCTGTGGCTCATGCATTAGGTGTCAAATCTGATCACAGTGTTTTATTTATTATTTTAATTATTTTTGAGATGGAGTCTCACTGTGTTGCTCAGGCTGGAGTGCAGTGGTGTGATCTCAGCTCACTGCAACCTCCATCTCCCAGGTTCAAGGGGTTTTCCTGCCTCAGCCTCCCAAGTAGCTGGGACTACAAGTGTGCACCACCATGCTGGGCTAATTTTTGTATTTTTCTTAGAGACAGGGTTTTACCATGTTGGCCAGGCTGGTCTCGAAGTCCTGACCTCAAGCGATCCACCTGCCTTGGCCTCTATTTATCTATTTTTAATTTATCATTGATTGCTTGATTGATTGAGACAGGACCTCCTTCTGTCACCCAGGCTAGAATGTAGTGGTACAGTCATTGCCCACTGCAGGCTTGACCTCCTCAGCTCAAGCAATTCTCTCACCTCAGCCTCCCAAGTAGCTGGGACCACGGGTATCTGCCATCATGCCGTGCTCTGCCACTATCTTTTAAATTGCAGCCCTGACCCCTTCCACTGTCTGTACCCGTCACCATCTCCCTACATACATAGAATATGTGATGAACTATGTAACATGGCATATGCAGGTATAACATGATATATACATCACGTAGTATACATGATGTAGTTATTTATTTGCGTCTCCTCTAGGAAGCAGGAGGAAGCTTCTCTTGTCTGCTTTGCTCTCAGCTGTGTCCTAGCCCAGATGAGAGTCCGGCACACAGCAGGTACTGAGTAAATATGTGTACAATGAATATTGCAGGTGAGATAGAAGCAGAATATCCACAGTTCCCTTTAGATGTCACCTGCTCTGGGTTTGAGATCTGCAGGGATTTACTCTGGACAGGAGAACTGAATAATTCCGCCTGTGCTCATGTGGGTTGGGAGGATCTGGAGGGCTTAAGATGTTTCCACTGGGGTCAGTGGGGGTGGGAGCACCTCCACACACCCTTTTTTTCTTCAAACAAGGTTATTCCTTAATTCCTCGATACTCCCTTTGAATACATGATTTTAGCCACCATCATAGCGAATTGCATCGTTCTCGCACTGGAGCAGCATCTGCCTGATGACGACAAGACCCCGATGTCTGAACGGCTGGTGAGTGATGTCTTGTCTTGGGGACTTCTCCTTAGCTCTAGCAGGCCATTGATGTTTGCGGGGGGGTAGAGCAGGGCACAGAGGAGGCTCTCAGTCCTGGAGCCCAGAGCCAGGTCATGGGAAGCCTAAATTTCTTTTTTATTTTTTCTCAAAGCAGAGTCTCGCTCTGCCACCCAGGCTGGAGTTCTGTGGCTTGATCGTAGCTCACTGCAGCCTCCACCTCCTGGGCTCAAGCCATCCTCCCACCACAGCCTCCTGAGTAGCGGGGACTACAGACACTACCACGCCCAGCTGATTTTCTTATTTTTATCTTTTCTGTAGCGATGGGGGTCTCACTAGGTTCCTTAGGCTGGTCTCAAACTCCTGGGCTCAAGCCATCCTCCCACCTCAGCCTCCCAAAGTGTTGGGATTACAGGCATCAGCTGCTGTGTGCAGTCAATGTCATGACCACCAATGATAGAGGGCAGGGAAAACACCCTCCCTGCCTGCCCCACTCCGTCACCACCCAGCGGATCTGGTGTCAGCAGGGAGAGACACAGGTGACAGGTGGTCACATGGTCCCTGAAAAAATCCTATTCCAAACAAGATTCCCTTGAAAAATGTTGACTACACCCCAAAAGAGTGATAACACAGTACAGTGAGTACCCCCATGAACCCGTCCCCCAGATTCAATTTCTTCTGTCCTTTTCCTTTCCTTGCCTTTTTTTGGTAGAAGTGTTTTCAGGCACATCAATTCACCACGCATACTTAAGTCTGTGTCACTAAAAACATGGATGTTTTCTGGCAGGGCGCAGTGGCTCAAACCTGTAATCCCAGCACTTTGGGAGGCTGAGGCAGACAAATCATTCGAGGTTAGGTGTTCGAGGTCAGCCTCGCCGATATGGTAAAACCCCGTCTCTACTAAAAATACAAAAATTAGCCGGGCGTAGTGGTGAGCACCTGTAATCCCAGCTACTTGGGAGGCTGAGGCAGGAGAATCACTTGAAACCGGGAGGTGGAGGCTGTAGTGAGCTGTGATCATGCCACTGTACTCCAGCCTGGGCAATGAGCAAGCCATCTTAAAAAAATAAAAAACATGATTTTTTTTTTCTTACGTAGACACAGTGATGTTATCACACCCAGCACAATGAGCTGTGGTTCCTCAGAGTCATCTAAGACCCAGTCAGTTTTCAAATTTCCATGATTGTTTTGGCAATATCTTTTTTAAAAAAGGGGGAGAGGGGGAGGAAGAAACCCCAAAAGGATTTTTCCATGCCCTCCCCCAGGTGCACCACCCTCAAGGAACCTCCATATGTTCAGCTATCCAGAAGCCCTCTGAATCCTGGCCTTTTTGGGGTTTTATGGAGGCCTCATTACATAAGCATGATTGATTAAATCGTTAACCATTGGTAATCAACTTGACTTTCAGCCCATCTCTCTCCCAGAGGTTGCAGGGTGGGGCTGAAAATCCCAACCCTCTAATCATGCCTGGGTTTTCCCCGTGACCAGCCTCCATCCTGAAGCTACCTAGAAGCTGCCAGCCACAAGTCAATCGTTACCTACAAAAAGTCATCCCTTTGGAGATCCCCAGGACTGTAGGAGCTATACGTCAGGAAACAGTGTCAAAGACCAAACACATATTCCACAGTGTCACAGTCTTCTAAAAACTGTAACTAGCCTAGCAAACCTATGATTTTAGACTTTTTTGTTTTCATTTAAAATAAGGCTAAATAAAAAGAGTCCATTGAAAGACTGGTAAGCTAATAGAAATACCAGTGGCAAGCTGATGTGGAAAAAAATCATTTAGGCAGAATGAAATGATTGAAGCTCGAGAAACATTGCTGTAACAGATGGGAAAACGTCCACATAGGGGCTCTGATGGAGCAGAGCTTATAGCTTAATTTCAAATATGATACGTTATCAGCTGGAAGCCAGAACCAGCTGGAGGTTCTGCAGAAGAACTGATGGTGAGATGGTGAAGACATCGGCCACTTACCAGCCAGTACAAAAGTCCTGTTCCAACCCTGTAACAGTCTGAATGGCTGTGTTGGTATATACTAGCTGAGAACCATCCTAAGGGGTCAGATTTAGCAGTGGGGTCAATGCAAAATCTCCACCCTCAAATCCTTGAATGCTGCATGTGACAAATAAATCCTCTAAACCAATGCTTCCATTGGAACTTTCTGCAGTCACAGAAATGTTCTCCGTCTACCCTGTCCAATATGATTGCCACTTGAAATGTAGCCAGTGTGACTGCAGAACTGCATTTTTTTTATTTTATTGCATTTAAATTAATTTTAATTGAAATAGCCACATGTGACCTGTAGCTGTCATATTGACTAAGGCAGGTGCAAGCAAATGATTCTACTTGGTAAAGTGGCATGTGAGGTTGGCCCAGAAGGAATGAAGGAGGAAGATGTCTTCTCTGAGCGTTAGCTTTGCTTCCAAAATGCTTTGGACAAGAGAACTCTACAAAAGGCAGTGAGGGGTAGTGAGTGGAGGAGGGTCAGCGGAAGCAAGAGGGTGCTGGGTACTGATTTCTAGGTGGGCTGGTTCCCTGGTCTTGCCAACATCTGCCCAGCCCAAGATGCTGACCTTGCCTTCTCTCCCTTCCAGGATGATACAGAACCATACTTCATTGGGATTTTTTGTTTCGAGGCTGGAATTAAAATCATTGCCCTTGGGTTTGCCTTCCACAAAGGCTCCTACTTGAGGAATGGCTGGAACGTCATGGACTTTGTGGTGGTGCTAACGGGGTAAGTGGCGCATGCCGTACTCTTGAGATTTAACTAGCTGAAGGATTATGAGGCTTTTGGTTGGTGTGGTCCAGGCCAGGCTCGAGAAGGCTGAGCTCTTGTGTTCTCCCTCCCCTCATTATGCACCTGATTCCTTTCTGCCAACCCCCCACATCCATATTTCAGCTGTGTATTACAGCAGATGCTTTCTGTTACAATTAAAATAATAGCTCATTATAGTTGGCTGCTTCCAGAGTGCTTTATGGGCAGTCTCTAATTTAATCCCTGCAACAACCCAATGAATTAGGAAATATTAATATTCCCATCTGACCACTGTGGAATCGGAAACTCAGAGTGTAACTTGCTTAAGGCCACCCAGCAAGTCAGTGATGGAATTGGGATATGAACAGGAGATTATGTGTTCCAGAACTCAAGGTCTTAAATGCATGGGTCTCTTTCTTTGCTTGAGGATATCTTGCCTTTATTTCAAGTTGGTGAATGTTTTTTGAAAATATCTGGGTACAAGGGATTGTGGTTGTGACGAAGGAGAAAACCAAGCTAAATAAGGTACAGTCACTGTCTTCAAGGAGTTTTCAGATCCACATATGATGAACCATGGTTGAAATGTGTATACACTTTCCTCTAAGCACCCTGTATGAGGTAGCACTTGCTGGTATAACAAAAGATTAAAAGCTAGGAAATGACTTAAACACAGCAGAAGTTTATTTCTCACTCATAGAAAATTAAAAACTGAGCTGGGTTTGGTGGTGCATGTCTAAAATCTCAGCACTTTAGGAGGCTGAGGTGGGAGGATCACTTGAGCCCAGGAGTTCAGGACCAGCCTGGGCAACACAGTGAGACTCCCATCCCTAAAACATAAAATAAAAATTAGCTAGGCATGGTGGTACATACCTGGGAGAATTGCTTGAGCCCAGGAGTTGGAGGGTACAGTGAGTTATGATAATACCACTGAACTCCAGCCTGGGCAAGAGCTTCTGGGCTCAAGTAGTCCTCCCACCTTGGCCTCCCAAAGTGCTGGGAGCAAGACCCCATCTCAAAAAAAAAAAAAGTCCAAAAAAAAAAAAAGTCCAAAATAATTGTTCCTAGTTGGCAGGCTGATCTCCTCCAATGACTGAGGGACCCTGGCCCTTGCCATATTATGGCTCTTCATTGTCAGCCCACAGCATCCAGTAACTCCATGCTTGTCTGTATCAAACCAGGAAATGAGCATAGAAGGTGATACTTGGGAACGTTTATGAGGTTGGAAGGGGTGTGGCTCATACCTGTTCCATTCATATCCTATTGGCCAGAACTTGGTCACATGACCACACATCACTGCAAGGGAAGCTGGGAAGTATCAGATTGTGCTTAGAAGAAAAGGGAAATGGATTTGGAGAATGACCCACCAGTCTCTGTCAGGGACCATAAAGACTTCTATTAGATTCCAGTACGGACATTACTGTCTGGTACCAATGGCTGGCTCCTCCCCTTCCCACTCTCTGCTCTCCTCTGAGCTAAGTCTGGGCCCTTCTATTTTAAGACCCTTCTTCCCTGGGACACCTTTTTCATAATAATTATTTACAGGATCATAGCTCTCCGTGTTTTGTTGCTGCTCCAGGTTCTGTCTCTCTTGGCGGATGTGATGGGTTGCAGCACCCACGCTGTGCTGGCTGGACTGTCACAATGCAGATTTGTTTCAGAGCAACGTTGCCTCTCACAGAAGGAACTGTGTCACATTGAGATGTTTCTGTAGAGGCCTTCAGATGTCTGTGGCCTGTTATAAGGACTTTTGGCTAGCTCTCATGGGCTTGGGTGTGGCAAGGGATCTTTGTTAGTTGTGCTCACAGTTCGGTGGCTTGGAACCTTGATGGATTCCAAGGACATATTATGGTGCTGGGCACTTACACTCTACCAGGAAACTTACCTGGAAACAGCCTAGTGGCTAACGTTTTTATTGTTAAAAAAAAAAATGTAAAGCTGGGCAGGGTGGTTCATGCCTGTATTCCCAGCACTTTGGGAGGCCAAGGTGGGAGGATTGCTTGAGCCCAGGAGTTTGAGACCAGCCTGGGCAATGTAGCAAAACCACATTTCCTCAAAATAAAAATTAAAAATGTATAAAGCTGGGTACAGTTGGCACACGCCTATAACCCCAATTACTCGGGAGGCTGAAGAAGGAGATTGCCTGATTCTAGGAGTTTGAGACCATCCTGGCCAGCCTAGCAAGATCTCATGCAAAAACGAGTAAAGAATAAGAGAGCAAACACCTGTAGCACCTGTGTACATAGTCGTTTATTCAGTGACTGTTTATCGAACGCTTCTATGTGCCAGGTCCTGTTCTAGGCTCTGGGACACAGCAGTGAATGAAATAGAAAAATCCCCTGTTCTCATGGAGCTGACAGCCTAGTGATGGAGATGGACAAAATTGATGAATGAATCTAGTGTGTCAGATGGCAGTGAGGGGTACAGAGAAAAAATAAAGTGGGGGCGGGAAGGGATGTGTTGTAGGCAGGGGTCAGGGGTGCTGGAAGCCGGGGAAGGCTTCACTGGGAAGATGACATCTGGATGAAGACCTAAGGGAGGTGAGTGAGTGGGCCATGAGGATAGCTGGAACAAAGTGTCAGGCAAAGGGAACAGCCAGTGCGAAGGCTCTGAGGCTGGACTATAGCTGGCATGTTTGCTCAACAGCAAGAAGGTCCGTGTGGCTAGAGAAGGTGACCAGAAGAATGCGGAGAATTGAGGGTAGAGAGGTAATGGAGTAACCCGCCATCAAAACAAAACTTTTCTTTTTTCTTTCCTCCCTTTCCCCCTTTCCCTTTCCTTTCCTTCTGACAGAGTCCCCCTCTGTTGCCCAAGCTGGAGTGCAGTGGTGCAGTCTCAGCTCACTGCACCCTCTGCGTCCTGAGTTCAAGTGATTGTCCTACCTCGGCCTCCCAAGTAGCTTGGATTACAGGGTGTGCCACAACACCTGCCTAATTTTTATATTATTGGTAGAGATGGGTTTACGCCATGTTGGCTAAGCTGTTCTCGACCTCCTGACCTCAAGTGATCCACCTGCCTCGGCCTCCCAAAGTGCTGGGATTACAGGCGTGAGCCACCACGCCTAGCAAAGTAAAACCTTTCTAATCCCTGTTTTCTCCCTCCCTAGACCCACTCCTTTCTCTCTCCCATCCAGAGGCACTTTCCTGAATTTTATGTTTATTGTTTCCATGTACATATTTATACTTTATACTACATATTTTACACTTAAAAATGTGTCCAGAACAGCGTCAGAATGAGAATAGCTTACAATTTGACTACCTGTGTAGATAAGAAATAGATGGGCTGGGAATGGTGGCTCACACCTGGAATCCTAGCAATTTAGGAGGCAAAGATGGAAGGATTACTTGAGGCCAGAAGTTTGAGGCCAGCCTGGCCAGTGTAGTGAAACCCCATCTCTACAAAATGAAATCCAATATAATAGAATAATTAGCTGGACATGGTGGTGTGTTCCTGCAGTCCAGTACTCAGGAGGCTGAGGCAGGAGGCTCACTTGAGCCCAGAAGGTCAACACTGCAGTGAGCTGTGACTGCACTCCAGCTTGGGCAACAGAGCAAGACCCTGTCCCTAAAAAATAATGGTTTGGTTTGGTTTGGTCTACGAAATAAAGGCTGGGTGTGGTGGCTCACACTTGTAATCCTAGCACTTTGAGAGGCCAAGGCAGGAAGATTGCTTGAGTCCAGGACCATCCTGGGCAACATGGAAAAACTCCATCTATACCAAAAATAAAAAAAATGCAATAAGTTACCTAGGCATGATGATGTATGCCTGTAGTCCCAGCGATTCGGGAGGCTGAGGTAGGAGGATCACCTGAGCCCAGGAAGTCAAGGCTGCAGTGAGCCATGATTGTACCACTGCACTCCAGCCTGGGTGATCAAGTAAGACCTTGTGAAAGAAAGAAAGAGAGAAAGAGAGAGAGGGAGAGAAAGGGGGGGGGGGGGGGGGGGGGGGGGGGGGGGAAAGAAAGAAGAGGGAGGGGAGGAGAGGGGAGAGGGGAGGGAGGAGGGGGAGGGGAGAAGAGAAGGGAAGAAGGAAGGAGGAAAGAAGGAAGGAAAGAAGAAAAAAGAAATATATGGTGCATGGTACTGGCTTTTAATCTTAACATTCCTCTATAAATGTGTTCTTCTAACCTGACTTTTGTATTCAACATGAAATAAATGTGATTAAATAGCTCTTATATGTCCATTTTCACGACTGCATAGTATTCTGTGATAGGAGTATGCTGCCATGTATTTATCTATTTGGATTGTTTCTGGCTTTGGGCTATTTTGAAGCAAACTGTCCCTGTCCCTGCTTTCTCCCAAGTGAGTTTCTCTAGGGCACGTACCCAGGAGTGGAACTGCTGAGTTGTATACGGTATGCATCCTCCGCCCCACTAGATGTTGCCAAATTGCTCTGCGAAGTGGTTGTGCCAATTCATGCTCCCTGGGGGCTGGCTTCTGCTGGTTGGGGCTGGCTTGACCTTGCTGGCAGGAAGGAGCCTTAAAAATCCCTGGGCAGGTTTTAAAAAAACTTTTAAGTTTAGGGGTACAAGTGCAGATATCTTACATGGGTACACTTGTGCCATGGGGGTCTGTTGTATAGGTTATTTCATCACCCAGATATTAAGCCTAGTCCCTGTTAGTTATTTTTCTTGATCCTCTCCCTCCTCCCACCCTTCACCCTTCAAAAGGCCCCAGTGTGTGTTGTTCACCTCTGTGTGTCCATGTGTTCTCATCATTTAGCTCCTACTTACAAGTGAGAACACGTGGCATCTGTTTTTCTGTTTCTGCATTAGTGTATGAAGGATAACAGCTTCCAGCTCCACCATGTCCCTGCAAAGGGCATGATCTTGTTCTTTTTTATGGCTGCATAGTATTCCATAGTGTATATGTACCACATGTTCTTTATCCAGTCTATCATGGATGGGCTTTTGCAGCCCTATTTTTTTTTTTCATAATAACATGGTTATGGAAACACTTAGGGAAACTCATATACTATTGATC